GAAATTAAATGCATGAAATAATATGTAAAAAAAATAAATTTTAATTGTTGTATTTGTTACCAATTTTTTTCAAAACCGATTTATCTCGCAAACCGTTCATTTTTTCGAAATAAATAAAGAGTACCATTTTTAAAGAAAAACCTTCAGAGTATCTAATAATAATATTTTCAGTTTGATAAAATTACTTCTGTCAAAATTTTGAGAAAAATTGTGATAGGGCCAGTCCGTTTCTGGACACCTGATAATAGCAAAAAGTTGATTTTAGCATCAAATCGTAGAGCTCCATGTGTAATACAACGTACGAAAATTTTATTAAAATATACAGGGTGGTTTCAAAGTTATAACCCTAAACGTTAATTTCTAGGTACCCCTTTGACCCCCCATAACTCCGTTAGGGGGCACATTAGGAAAAAAAATTATAGGAAGGACTAGTTTGTTTTATTTTGACCTCCCCTATACACTCCCGAGAGATTAGGAGGTACTTACCGGACATCCTGTATATGTATAATGAAGCACCCGATGAAGTTTTCTTCTCACGAATTTTTAAAGCTTACGTTTCGAATAAATTTTTGTTGTTTTCGTTGTAGTAATTTTATGACAATTTTTAACTTGAACGGAAAATTATATAAATCGTATTTGTTATTGTTACGCCCGTCTCCCCTACACGTTTCAGAAGTAGAACCGCCGCCGCCTGGGAAAAAAGCTCCTTTACCGGAACGTCCCGTGGACGTAAACAAAAACGCATGAAAAATTCGTTACAGCCGCCATAGCTGGGGAAATTATCAAAGCAAACCCTTTAATTTGCTCATGACGTCCTCCTTTTTGTGAAAAAATATCAATGGACTCCGGATTTTATTGTTAGGAGACAAACAAGGTTCGAAAACAATTTTCGTTTCAAACGGCACAGAGGGAATGCCACTGATAGGTTTTTTCATCGGGCGTATTCTTTTGTGAATATATCCGATGTGGATCGTCGGTGACATGTATAGTCTTTACATTTTTATCGCGTCCTGTTCCCCGATCCGAAGCCCCGAAATCGGAATGTCACTCCCTGATAAAAATTCATACTTTTTTTGTCTCTGCCTCTCTCCGCGCTCTGACCCAGATCGATGGTTATTTTAATTGGATTTTTATAAAACGGCGAAAAGTAACAAACTAAATATGTGAGGAATTTTAATCAAATCGGAACTTGGACACGACCGGTGTTTGGACGCGCGTATGTCGGTTCGGTACTCACAAGGAATTACTTACTAAAAAATAAATACACTATTTTAATTAAATCGTTGGGTTGCGTTTTCATTAATTGGTAGTGGTGGGATTCAGGCATTTTTTCGTTCGTAGCTAGATCTAAATGAAAAAATACTGTTACAATTTTTAAATATTTTGTATTTCTTCATTTGTAAATGTTAGGAATGATTAAAAGCATGATAATGTACCGAGTTCTAGCTAGGTGCAAGGTGTACTAGGGTAGACGTTCGATCATAGTTTTTGGTGGCTCTGCTGTGGTACTGCAGGAATTTCCGCCCTAGGTTTTTTCGTCTCGACTCTACTCGCCCTGATGTCTGAGTTTGTTGTTCGATGTGGTAGTTTATCTTTTAGTGAGTGTACCTCAGCTCCAAGTTCGTCAAATGTGGGACATTTTTTCCCAAAATTTGAAACTGAGGCTCCGCCATCGCTCTGCCACCAGCATTGGCATCTGTCATCTACTGTGGCTGCTGGGATCTTTAGGGATCTTTTTTTTGTCTGAGATTTTCGAAACCTACACTGTATAAAAAAATCGCTGTGAGTGAACGCAATAAAGGTAAGGAGTGAATTCGTTGAGTGAAATTATTGAGTACATTTTCACTCAATATTGAGCATTTTGATAATTGAGTAACTAAATACTTTCACTCAAATATAGGTACTCATTAAATAAATTCTACAGATAAATTCGTATTTGGTGCACTTGCAGCTAAATCGGAATAAATGGCCTCTTTATTGAGTGACCCTACCCCATTCTATGGTTGTCGTGCGTTGTCTTTGTCTATTCCTATCGTCCCCATTAGGTCATCTCGTGGCGTGGTGTATGGCGTGTGGTGCTGAACATGTGTCCGTTAATCCGGTTATTTTGGTGAAGATTATGTTTAAACACAGTGGTTCGATTACAATAATTAAAAACAATATTATATTGAGTCTCGATTGATATTTGGTTAAATAAATGGATAGTTAAATTGTTACCCATACTTACTTACTTACGTATCTGTAACGTATAATATAGGTTATGACAATCTATTCATTCGATCAGTTAACCAATTTCTTAATCTTTAATCGAGACCTAAAATAATATTGTCTCTATAACAGATATGTGTAGAAACCACTGTGGCAGCTTAGTAGTTTACACTGTAAAAAAATTTCACTCAATGTTCACTCAATTTTACTCAATAATGTATCAATTTCCGTCCACACCCGATTGAGTGAAATTTTCACTCTATTAGTATGAGTATAACTATTGCATCAGAAATGAGTGAGTTTTACTCAAATCTGAGTTACTGCTAACTATCAATTTTGATGCTATTCTGAGTATATAAAACCAATTCTGAGTTAACTTTTTCTCTAATATGATTTAAATTAACTATTATTGAGTAATTTTTTACTCAGACTTGGTTTTTAATTAATAAAATATGGAGTGCAAAAATAAATCACTCATAAATGATTAATTAGGACATACAGTGTTGAAATTAATTCACCTCGCGGGGCCTCCTCCTGTCCTGGTTGAGACCCGCCAGCTGAGACCCGCCACCGCCGGCTAAGGTCAGTTCTCCTGGCGATCACGCTTTTCTGGAGCATCTAACGGGCCCCTATCAACTGTGGTCGATATTACAGAAGCAATATGTAAGTGGTGCCATCTTCACGGCGCCATTCAAATTACTCGAAATTAATATATATTTAAAAGCACTCAGTAATGAGGACATGTACTCTGATTTAGGTACAAATACACCAAATATGAGTTTACGTGAAGAATTTATTAAGGAGTACCTATATTTGAGTGAAAGTACTCAGTTTTAGTTTAAATATAATCACAAATGAGTAAATCACAATATAAAGAACAGTACTCAAGCTGGATCTAAAGAAAGCATAATATATTTTATCTATGACTATTTAATAATAGACGCATTATAATTGTGATAGTAAGTGCATAATGTAACTCATGTTTCACACCCGTGGAATATGAGTTTCATATTCCACAGGTGTGGAATATGAATTTTTATACGTATCCCTTATAGCTTCTGACCGCGCTACAAAATAGAATCGAGCTTTCTTGAATTATTGTTACTATGGTAACTAATGTAATTGGTTTGACAACACTTCGCAAAATAAAACAATTTTGACTTTTGCAGTAATTTTGCAGTTTAATTCTGACAGTGAAAATGAAATTCGATGCACCCCTCCTGAAATTCGTGAAGCCGCGAAATTAGCATCATTGGAATTACTTCCAGAGAAATCAGGAAAAAATTACACAATTGTATATAACAGCTTTATGGACTGGCGACTAAAAATTGGCACAAATTCGTTTTCCGAAGATACTTTGTTGGTATATTTCAAGGAATTGACAAAAAAATGTAAATCGTCTACATTATACGCTCGTTAAATAATATACTATTATCCACGACTATTGTATAATGTACCCATTATACGTCTGTTTGCTCGACTTTAATAATACCCATTAATCACGGCAGTGATTAATGAGTCATTAATCACTACTGTCAGATGCTTCCTTAATTTAGCTATAATATTATATTGTTCTGCTACAAACAATCCGTTTTTAAAATTTTATCGTGTAAACCACTAAATATTTTCAATTCAGTGCTGTACATATAAAAAAAAAATTAAAAAAGTGAATTTTCCTAGACCGGATTCGAACCCGGGACCCGCGGTTGGAAGAGAAAGAGCATCTACACTGAGCCATCAGCGACTTCATTTGTGCGAGTCGTATATCTGTTTCTTAACATACCATGTTTTTCGAAACATTTCAAAAAAAACTTCAACCGAAATATTTAGTAGTCGTGGATAAAGTATAGTATTCTACTTCCGTATAATGGGTATTATTCACTCGGTGATTTAGGCCACTCGCCTGCGGCTCGTGGCCGTAAACTTCGCCTCGTGAATAATACCCATCATTATACGCTCGTTGAATAATATACTATTAAAAATGTTAATGATTTAATGTTTTTTATTGTAAATCCTATTGCTTGGAACCAAATCCTTGTTAGAACTGTGCCGATTGAGTGTATGTATGTAGATCCATATAAGAATTGGACGTGATTGGATTTTCGGGTGATTACTTTGCATTTGTTTGTTGTTAATCGACTAATTTCTAAGTTTATTGAGTTACTGCCGAAGATTGTGGGCCTGGCTGACAGGTTGTAACGTCATCAGCATATAAAAGCCTCTCACAATTTAGCATACTGTCAACGTTGTTAATAAATAAGAGAAAGAATAGCGGGTCCAAGTTCGAACCTTGAGGAACCCCCGATATAGCTACATATGTCTTGGATCCGAAACCGTTAAATGCAACATACCGAGTTCTATTATAAAGATATGAACGAAAAAGCGTCAGTAATTCGTCGTTAATATGCCAAAACTGACAATACTCTCGTCAGTGTGGATCCGGGTGGACTCTAGCGGTAGCTTATTTTTTTTTGTGTCGAATAGTTTTTAACGTGTAACGTTATTTATTATTTGTCCACCTGGACTAATAACTCCTTGGGATAATTGGTTACAAAACCCAGGTACACTAAAAAAGATGTATCCAGCTAAGCTACAATCAGGTGCATTGAGATCACAAGGTCGTGGGGTGTAGTACAAAATTCTTAATGTGTAGATATGCTCTTATACTATGAGGAAGGAGCAAGATTTAAACAAAATATTCTTAAAACAAATTTAATATAATGTAAGGTTAGCGAATTTTAAATTTTACAAAAAAAAAATATCAATTTTTATCAAATTACAATCAGGTTTAATTTAAAATTTCCGACAACAGATGACATAACATATTGAACTTTGACTAGATATCTCTACTTGACTAATAAGGTTTTAAAAGCAACAGTGATGGTGTGTCTGACAAGATTTGGTTATATGGAAGGGTCTTACTCTGGTTAGTTTGTACGATATCTGAGGGGGTGTTGACGCTATGGTCATCTGTCAGATGTAGATGGCCATGACAACTTCCTCCCAAAGATGGTGATGGTTAGAAGCCCTGGATCCAATCGAAGGTTGTCTCTTTGGAAATCAGAGAAAAAATAATATAAGCAAGTAGGATATTTACAACGAACGAATGTTCGATAATACTCAGTCTGGTTGTCGGTGATTATGGAATAAAATGTAATATATATACATTTAAATTTAATATTTACTATTAATGTTAAAGTTAATTATTTTAATACTATTGTTATAACTAATACGATGAAATCTAAACTAAGGATGGTGAAAAGTTAACTGAATTTATACTAACGAGANTTTAATACTATTGTTATAACTAATACGATGAAATCAAATCTAAGGATGGTGTGAATTTAAATAAATTTAAACTAATAAGAAAAAATGTACAGCATTTGAAAATCTGTGCAATACTTGATTCAAAATCTTTCAACTATTTAAAATCAATAAAAGTTAATAATTTACTAAATAAATGATACAAAAGATAATTCGAAAACAACCAGATCGTATAGTAGATGTCGAAATTTAAAGCAAAATTAAAATTAACAAAAAACACCTTGTGTAATAGAAAAATAGGAATTAGTTTTTTATCTGCCCTTTTCAAAATGGTGGGTATGAAATGTGGTAAGTATAATAAAAGATATTAAGGTAAAGATATAAGATAAAATTTTGCTAGAGCTTTAATTAAAAAAAAAAATTAAATAAAAAACCAGAAAGATAATATACGATACGTTTAGTGCAGTTTACATCCTTAACATTTATATGACTACAAAAAAGGTTAAATTTGGTGGTCACAAGGACTAATGAAGAAAGCTGCCTTTATTAGATAAAGAACAATAAAAGAACCTTACCTCGATCCATTCCTTAGGATCGTGAGCCAACCATTTTCGACCTAGACTATGCAATTTGCCAGTGGCCCAGAGAACTCTGTCAGTCTGCGAAGAAATCGGAAAGTTCAATAACCCTTTGTGTAATCGTCAAAATCAGGCGATGTCCCGATCAAATAATCTGAAAATATAAAAAAACAACAGAACGGGTTCTCAAACTTTACTAAACGAAGAGATAAGCAAACCAAGCCACCTCGTGGATGTTGACTCGCCACGTGCCCTTGACCAAAATGGAGGTCAAAGTTGGACCTAAATTAAATAACTAAAATTACAAGAATTAGCAAAATATTCAAAAGCAAAGCAAATACAAAATAGGTAATTAAAAGGAAAGAATCCACATTTACATACCAGTTTGAAAATTTGCAGTATTCTTCCACGATAAAAATGGATGGGTGTCGCGAAGTACGATCTGCTTGGTTCGACGATAGTTTTAGAAAAGAGCGAATGTACAAGCCGTCACGTATTTTACAATTCCGGTACCGCGCCATCTACGTTAGATGTGGGACGGGTTCCATAATACGGGTGGTTCACAGATGTTAGTGTGGGATAATTTGGAGTAATTATGGAGTAAATATACAGGGTGTTAAAAAAGAGTGTAAAATATTTCAGGAGGTAATAGTATGAACCAAAATAAGCGGAAAAGTCTTAATAAACATGGGTCCGCAAAGTAACGGTTGCTGAGATATGGACTACTATTCGTTTTTCAAACATTTTATTTTATTAGGCATAAACCGACAAAGAAAGCTTTTAACAAACAAAAAACAAAGTTACAGAAGATGTTCAAAGTGCCCTCAGTCCATTTCCAAGCAGGCACGACATCTTCGTCTCAACGATATTCGAACTCTTTCGAAAACACCCTCCTTGGTTTGGATTTCTTGACACTTTTGATTAATCCGTAGCTGCAGCTCTTCCAGGCTATTTACAGGAGTACCATACACTAATGTCTTCAAATATCCCCAAACAAAGAAATCTAGAGGGTTCAGATCAGGCGATCTTGGAGGCCATAAAACAGGTCTGGCCCTTCCTACCCATCTATGTGGAAAAGTTTGGTGTAAATGCTCTCTAACGGCCATGGAAAAATGAGCTGGAGCACCATCATGCTGGAACCACATTTGTTGCCTCTGATTCAAAGGAATGTCTTCCAAAAACTCATACAGTGTGTTCTGCAGAAAGTTGAAGTAAGCAGCGTCTGTTAATCGGTTTGGTAAAACAACAGGACCTAGAAACCTGTCACCTACAATACCCATCCAAATGTTTAATGAAAAACGTGCCTAATGTCCAGATTCTATTAGAGCATGAGGATTTTCGTCGGCCCAAATATGCGTATTGTGAAAATTAAACACTCCATTTCTTGTGAACCGGGCCTCATCAGTAAAAAGAATGTTTGCAAGAAAACGAGAGTCTTCAGCATCATGACGTAGAAACCAGCGGCAAAATACCAAACGTGCTTGATGATCATTGATTGGATTTAAGGCCTGTACTCGTTGCACATGGTATGGATAAAGCAGTTGCTCGTGAAGGATTCTCCAAACAAGAGGACCACTAATTCCTACCTCGGCTGATATTCTCCGCTCACTCGTACCTGGATTCTGCTCTACCAGTGCTAGAATTTCTTCTGCTTTAGGAGTGGATACCGACCTTGGTCTTCCGGATAAATGGCACTGTTTGCTCAAGGAACCGGTATCACGCAATCTTTGGTGAATTCTTCCAAACATGCGTTGTGAAGGAATCTGGCGATTTGGATAAGCGTCAACATAAAGACGTCGCGCTTCGGTGGCGTTCCCATTAGCACGACCATACATGAAATGCATGTCTGTTAATTTTGCGTTAGAGTAACCAGCCATAGCGAAAGAAAACTTCTGCACTGAGAACAACTGTCAAATACGTACTGTTTATTTCACTAAACATCAACCAACTATTATAAGAAAATACACAACGTTTTTGCAAAATAAAAAGGGGCTAAAAAACATAAAACATTCCATATCTCCGCAACCGTTACTTTGCGGACCCATGTTTATTGAGACTTTTCTGCTTATTTTGGTTCATACTATTACCTCCTTAAATAGTTTACACCCTTTTTTTAACACCCTGTAGATGTTATATTAAAGTGACGTTATTTATACAGTGTGAATAAAATAAATGAAACGAAGTTAATAAAAATTTCGTTACAATCGACAATAGTTTTTATTGTTTTGTTTTTGGGTATTATTAATAATACAAATTAGAAGTGAAAAGCACATCAAGGCACGGCCGTCGCGTTGAATTCTCGAGCAAACTCCCAGCCTACACGGTATTAAGTACCTAACGATCGCGCTAAACACACAAAAGTCGCGTATTCAAGGGAATTAGGACCCAAACGAACGCATAAAACATATTATGACGGGGACCGTGAAGCTCCGTCGAAACACTCACTGGCACTATCAATAAAACATATCAACCGTGAATTCACGTCATATGCCCGACGATTCACTACGCCCAACTATGCGATTTTCCGGTTATACTTAGCGACATCCAAGCCCGAGATATCCATGAAAATGTAAGTGGCACCCTCCGCTCCGTCGTCTCACCCTCTTTTTTCGGCCCTCCGTACGCACGTGCCATGTCATTTGCCTCATTACATAGTGTATAAATGTATATTTGATTTCCCCACAACGACCTTGCGCCGTCCTCGTCTAGCACGGGGTGGCTTCTGGAAGGAACGTTTGTCGTAGACGGAATTCATTTCAGATGCAGCTTTTATTGATCAATGGGGCTTAGGTAGGATTACGATAGTTTTCGGCTGTATGAGGACGATAACACTAATGGTTATCCTGCAGGATAAATTATTGTTTTTAATTTTCTGTAGCCGGGGGTACGCGGCGATGCGTAGGGGCGTTATCGGTCCGCGACCCCTCTTAAGGATTTCTTCGAATGGTGCGTGAAGCATTGTAGGCTAAAATATTGATTGTGATTTCGTATTTATGGGTTTTAAAATATAACAAGGTGTTAGGCCGGTCTCCCTTTGGATGCGATTTCGTCCCAATTGTATTCAGAAATCGGATAAGATAACTATTTTCCAAAATATAATACAGGACCACAAACAAATGAGTGAATGGTTCCTTGAACCAGACCAAGTGGATTACATGATTTCTGGGTCGCTGAAACCGAATCCGAAACCTGTTTTGCCCCATCACGTCAGCGTTTTTTTCTAACCTCAAAAATCAGCTTGAAACTATGAAACCCAACAATATCAACCCTTAAACCATATAACCCTATACTTTCATAACTCAATAACCTTGAGATCGATAACCTATAACTCTAAAACCCATAACCGGAAAATCTATAACCTCAAAACTCATAAATCTCAAATTCCAATAAACTGCAAACACAAAATGAGCAATATAAACTCTTTTTTATTGCTCGAGCTTCCTTCTTCAGGAGAAAATTTGAGAATTGAATAAAAAATTATCAAGTCTAGAACAGAGTTTTTTCAAAAAACAAGTCATTGTGATGACCAAATTAATTTTTATGACAATAATAGATGTGATATTAATCCATCTTTCAAATGTGCTTTGGCTACTGTTGTTGAGATTCATACCATTCTTAATAGTATCAAAACGGATGCATTTGGTGTTGATAATATATCTCCCATTATGTTGAAATACTGTAGTCCATTTATTGATCCTTATGTTACTCATATAATTACTTGGTGTATTGAGAAACAATACTTTCCTTGTTTGTGGAAAACGGCAATCGGTTTGCCTATACCCAAAAAAATAATCCAGAATCGATCTCTGATCTTAGAATAATTAGTATATTACCTGCGCTTTCCAAACTTTTTGAAAGATTGTTATATAATCAAATTTATGATTATTTTGTAAATAATAGTCTCTTACCTCAATCGCATTGTGGCTTCAGGAAAGGGTATATTACCTCAACTGCTCTAATTACCGTCACTGATGATTTAATAAAAGCATAGGACAGGGAACTTGATAGTGCTTTAGTTTTATTGGACTTCCCTAAAGGTTTTGACACAATTAATCATAAGCTTCTTTGTTCTAAACTTAAGTACTATGGGTTTGATGAACCGACTTTAGATCTGATTAATTCTTATTTATATGGAAGATCTCAACAGGTATATGTTAATAACATTTTATCTAATAGTTTAGAAATACTTTCTGATGTACCCCAGGGGTCAATTTTGGGTCCCTCACATCTCATAATTTACACTGCTTCCATTTTAGAATCAATTCAACAATGTAAAGTAGAAGCTTATGCTGAGGATACTCAACTATATTATCATTTTGATATTAATGGTCTGCATCAAGCATGCAATATTGTCAGCTCTGAGTTACAAACTGTAAGGCAATTATCTGATGAACATAATTTAAAATTAAATTCTAGCAAATCAAAAATAATTTTTTTTTGATACTAAGAAAAAGGTACAAATAATAAGACTCAACTTTAATATTAAAATTGGTGGTATTCCAATTCCTATTACTGACAGTGTAAAAAATCTGGGAGTGACTCTTGGCAGTAACTTACGATTCAATCAACATGTGAAAACATTACTCCCAAAATCTTCGCTTAGATTAATTTATAGTAGTCGTCATATTCTGAATAAAAAACTTAAAATTATGTTATGTGAGTCACTTATGTTCTCTCCTATTTTAATTACTGTGATTATGTCTATGGTCCATGCCTTAGTATACAAGAAAAAAATAGAATTGAAAAAGTTCAAAATTCATGTTGTCGACTTGTACATGGATTAAGAAAATTTGAAAAAATTTGAAATATTTCTCACAAAATTGTAGAAATCAAGTGGCTCAACATGGAGAATCGCCGACGTCACCATCTTGGCAAACTTGTGCATAAAATTTTCTTATCATTAAAAACTAAATTTGTTAAACGTTCTAATGTTCATTCGAGGAATATCGGATTTAAAAATACCTTTACAATGCCACATCATCGTAGTGCCCTATTTAAAAGATGTTTTACTTATAATTCTATTACTTTATACAATTCTCTTCCTGATAATTTTAAAATTTTTGATATTAACAAATTCAAGTATAAATTTAAATCATATCTATTGAGTGGACAGCTGATTTTTATAGTTTATAGTCAAGGATTTTTATTTTAAACTGTTGATTATTGTTAACAAACGACGAGAATTATGTTAATTTAGTTCTAAAGAAATGAAATGACACTCGCGCCCATCTCTCGTTCCATATCATAGAACATGTTGGATGCAATTTTGAAGGTTCTGTGATAGAAATTACATTATTACTCACTGTTCATGTTTTTAATCTCTATTTTAGTAATGTTACAAAAGTTTTGCAATTATAAATTTTTTTTTATATATAAAGTTTGCTGAGAAATATTTATGTTCCTTTGTTATTCCGTACAAATGCTTTTATCTCAAGTATTACTAATTATATTAATCAA